TTATATAAAGTGCTTCCAATAGTTTTGTGCTGTGTAAGTATCTGCTTTAATCTTATTCTTCAGTATGGATAAGCTCATTTATATTTCAAGATAAATAAACGTATATACATTTCAATGTATATGAACATAGCTATATATTTCAATATAGATAAATCAATGAGGAATGAAAAAGATACTGATAAATTCTAGTTAATCATACTGCTAATAATAGAAATACTTGAATATGGGTAATTGTTCAAAAATAGAAGTTTATTCAGCTCATGGTTTGGCAGTCCACGGTCAAGGGACTACGTCTGGTCAGGGTTTTATTTGCAGCCGGTAATATGGCCAAGTGTGTCACATGACAAAAGTGTGGGCAGAGCAAGAACATGGGTATCCTTGTGTGTATGTCAGTCTCATCCCCTCTCCTCATAAACTCATTAAGATTCCATGATGGGATCCTCACCCTAATACTTGTAATCCTGTTCGCCTCCCAGAGACCACATCTTGCAGTCCCATAATCAGATTAATTTCCCACCCTTTGAATCCCATCACAATTTTTTACCAGAGTTTTAATACATGACTTTGGGAGAGACAAATTCAAACAAAAGCAGACACTCTTGAAATTACTTGGGACCAGTATGTGGCGTAATGGTTACATCACTGGACTCCCATGTAGTAGTAGACTATAGTTCAAATCCCAGACCCAGACATCAGAGCAGACAAAGATCTCTTAAATAAGACCCCTAAAGCTCAGGCAGTAATCTCAAAAATAGATAAATGGGATTATTTCAGGTTAAAAAGCTTCTGCTCTGCAAAAGAAACAGTAGTTAGAATGAACCAGCAACCCTCAAAATGGTAGACTATATTTGCAAACTATGCCTCAGACAATGGACTGATAACTGCAATATACAGGGAAACTCAAGCAGCTTACCCAAAATAAATGGTCAACCCAATTAAAAGATGGGCAAATGAATTGAACAGACAACTCTCTAAGGAAGACATACGAACAGCCAAAAAGCATATGAAAAAATACTCAACAATCCCTGTCATAAGGGAGATGCAAATCAAAACCGCAGTGAGATACCCTCTAACTCCAGTCAGAATGGCCAAGATAAAAATAAATAAATAAAAATAAAAATTATGTGCTGGCAAGGCTGTGGTGAAAGGGAATTCTCCTACACTGTTGGTGGGGACGTACAGCCACTGTGGAGAACAATATGGAGGTTCCTCAGGGGCCTACAAATAGAGCTACTGTGTGATCCAGCATTTCTACTCCTGGGTATCTACCCAAACGATAGGAGCATACTCGGTTGGAAAAGTGCTTACATATCCATGTTTATTGCAGCATTATTCACAATTGCTAAGACATAGAACCAACCCAAATGTCTATGAACAGATGAATGGATTGAAAAAGTGTGGCACATATACTCCATGGAATACTACTCAGCCATAAAAACGCAAGACCCTGACATTTGATAGAAAGTGGATGACTGTGAAAGATTTACTGTTGAGTGAAGCAAGCGAGACTATGAAAGAGAGACATTGCATATCTCCGTTAAATATACCGAATGTCCACAGTCTATGGCAGAAACTGAATGATTGCAGGATATAGAAGACTGAAGAATGGTTGTGGATACTGACACAGTGTGGAAGGAGGGTGGAAGGTGGGAGTTGGGGAGGGTGAGAGGAAGGAAATGAAAGAGAAAAATAGAAAGGGAAGACATTTAAGGGACACAGAAATGGAGAATTGTCTGTTGATAACGTGGATGACAATATCTTTAACTGGTCTGGTGTGCAGCATATGCTGGGAAAATTCACTTTAGAAGCTGTGGTGATATACAGTGAGTGTATGTATAAAATAAACTTTTTAAAATAAATTAAAAAAAGAGGTAGCCTCAATGTTGTGCTTTATCATCAGTGTTACAGATATCAAAGCAAGCATCCATTCTTTTATAAAATGTATTTATTTATTTAAAGTTTATTTTATTCCATGAGAGAGGACATGCGTATGTGATAGAGAAAGGTACCTTGACAGAGTCTCGTCAAGCTCTAGTCATCTTTCTCTACCCTCTAGCTGGTCAGGATTGTAGTTTTGTATGCGCCTTGTGTGTTTCAGGTCAGTTTGGGATCCAAACTCATGGTCAGCCTAATGACTTCCAGCACTGCAGATCCATACACTACTGCTTGTGCTACTGCAGCTGGACCAAGCATATATTTTAATTAAGGTGACCCATCATTTCTCTTAGACTCATGAATTGTTATACTCTGGTGTCACAGATCCAGGTCTTCTGGAAGTAGACTCTTTGTCTTTATTCTGGAGTGATTTCAGGAATATCAGTGGTGAGGAGTGGAAGACACAGGATTGAGAAGAGGAAGCACTTGGACAAGGATATAGTCATAACAGGGACCTCAGCACATCCTACAGTAGATGCTGCAAGAGGCTTTAGAGGCAAAATGTACCTACCCACCCCTCTACTTAAAAGTTAACCTTTGATGAGACAGCTCCCCTTGGCCCAGGGTAATTTACAAAGAAGATCTCTGGTAAGGGCCATCAGCCGCTAGCATAAGAAATATGACTGGGTTAGTCTTAACCTAGTTTCTGAGATCTTCGGATCAAATGAGATGATGAATATATATGAATATCTTTTGGAAAGAAAGCTCACTGTTATATTTGTGGATATGTTAAATGACATGGCTGATTTCAACCCAAACTTATTTTATTTGAGTTTTCTAAAGATGGACCAATCAAAAAAAAATTATTATGGTCCTTTACCTTTGTTTTTTCCTCATTAGCATCAATGTTCCTCAACTTTTATTTTGACCCAAACAGAATAGGAACCAATGTCTGAAGTGCTTCACGACAATAAATTCAATGAGAATTCTAAGTTAACTTTGCAGATAACAATTTTGTTTCTAGAGTATACAGCTTGAAAAATAAGGATTATATAGAATGGCAAAATGTGAAGCTACCTTAGGCTTTATCTTACTTCATAGAAAGCAGTCATAGAACCTTAGAAACTGGGAGATTTCTGGCAGCACAGTAACTTCTAATAATACCAAACTCATGACTCCAAGTTTTACGGATGCCTTCTCTAGGAAACGTTATACATTCACACTCGGTTTACTACCAGGTAGACAATAAAATAAGTTTATAGTATCCTCTGGTGAAAATAGGTTTGTTATATTTTGCTTTTATCTGTTTATTTTGTCTCTCTGCTGTTTCCCTCCTTGTACTGTTTTTGTTGTTGTTGTTGTTTGTTTTTAGAAAAAATGGTGTGCTGGGACCAGTAGTTAGTGTAATGGCTATGTCGCTGGATTCCCATGTCGTTGACCGCGGTTCGAGTCCTGGACCTGGTGGCTTAAACTCATGCTGGGCACGTATGCGTGCGTGCCCAAGATCCAGAGAGGAGAATGGAGGAGAAGGGATTGCAGGTGGCCATCCCCTATGGGAGGGTGATTTCTCTTTGTCTCTCTCTGTCTTTCTGGTGAGCGCACACAAAAATCTCTCCAAAAAAAAAGCCACCAAAAATCCCTCCAAAAAAAAAAAAAAAAAAAAAATGGCGTGGTAATTCAAACTTTAGTTGTTGGCCTTGTCGTTAAGAAATATTTTAAGGGAAGTTAAGATGGTAGGAAAAAATACTGTTTTTGTTAATTGGCTTTAGCTGATTTTATACCTGGAAGCAGGAGCACTTGATGGTTCTCGTATATGGTTAATTAAATCCTGTACTGATGGCTTCTGTTATAGGTATTAAGGCACTCCCTTGTTAGCAAATCCTCTGTCCCAGAAAGGTTGGATTTATTGTTGAGAAATCATTTTCTGAATGTTTAGTTTGCACTTAAGTAACTGATGGAGGCCGAAAGGTACTCTGTGTGTAGTTGCCAGAGGGTTGGTTGTGAGATTTGTGGAAGGTAATTCACATGGGGTTTCTGTCTACTTTGTTTTAAAACCAAGATGGCAGGCAAGTAAGTGGCACAGACACAAACCTTTCTTCTCCCCGGATCTCTTCAAATTCGTTTCTGTGAGGAAGGCAAAATCCCACTGCGTTTTGTTTTCCTAATGCTTCTTGGATTTTTACCAGCAGGTTTTTACAGTCTGTTGCTTGCCTCTCAGATTAGAAGAATGCTGGCATATTTTAATAGTTTCCTAGGATTCAAACAGCCTTTAATTAACAGCAAATTGATGTTTTGGAATGTTACCAAAACACGGGAGACCGAATGCTGAGGATGTGCTTCCATCCTTCCAGTTTCTGAGTCCAGCGGCATTCTAGAGTGGGGTCCCAGGAATGTGCTCCCCTGCAAACAGCTGGCTACCTACTGGCATCCATCCCATTGCCTGCTCACTGGTGGCCATCTGGATCCCACCTCCTCATGACTGGAAGGAGGCAGGTAGATGTTGAATTCTCAAAGCCAGAGCGGTACTGAGTAGATCAGGGGTTGCACAGCCTGCAGCACTGGTTTTGCTGGATTTCTTAATCCTCCAGTTGCCTGGGGAGTGGAATACAGCTGCCAGTGTTTGCGGCTAAACTTCTTTTCTGTGCCAGGTTCATGTCATCTTGCTGCCAGATATTTGGATGTGGCGGAAGAGAGCAATTCTATCAAATAATCACTCAGACTTGATGCCTATTTTAAGTGAGTGAGTTTTCAAAGAGAGAGGGGTGTGCGATGGATGGTTTTCGTTTATTATTTTATTTTTTTAAATCCAGACTCTTTGGTTAACAGTTTATGGGTGACACAGTCCAGAGTTCTCGGCAGGAAAAGGAAGACAGGTTGGGGAGTTTGAAATGTTAACTGCTACTTACATAACCAAGTAGATATAATCCAAGGAAAAAGAGCAGTCTAGCTAACTCCCTCTGCCTAATGGCCAATCTGCTCATTGGCCAGCTCGCTCCGGAGGTCAGTAGACTCCATGTCTCTTGTGCTTTGTCCAGTCGCCCACAAAGCTGGCCTTTTGGCCTTAGAGGAAGCCGTGCTGTTTTTTCCAAGTAGTCTCTGATGCTCCTTTTGTTCTCTTTCCTCAGGTGGAACATGCCAGAGTCCTGCTCTCCCAGCCCTGGTCCGTCCGTCAGCCCCACCTCTGCAACCATCGCTGGATATTAAACCATTTCTTCCCTTTCCAATCGACACTGCTGCCGCAGTCAACCTCTTCCCCAATTTTAATGCGGTAAGTGCCGTGGGCAAGTTTTCATCTGCTGAAGCAGTGGGTCCTGGAAGACCTTCAAGGCTGGGGAAGATTCGATCCCCGTCTCCATTTTGCTATGTGCCTAGCTCTTTGGCCAGTGTAAAGGCCACGTTGAAGTCCATTATCTGCCTGGTTACATGAAGTCCCCCAACCCAGGCTTCTTCTGGAAATGCAAAGAGATTCAGTCCAATTGGGTTGATCAGGAATTGATGTTTGCCTTTGAGTATCTTCTGGGTAACATCAACAATTCTATTCTTTTGTTATTTTGTTAAACAACATTCAAATAGAAGTTTAATATATTTAAAAGAACAGTAGACTTGAACTAAGAAATTCAAAATATATTTCTTCTATCTGGGCCTTATCCTTTCATTTTCAATCTGTTATAGCTTTTGCAATTTATTAAAGAGGACTCTGATAACAATAATCATTGTACATTTTATGTATATGACAATTTTTTCCTCTTTCAATTCGGACCACTCAGGTCTCTCATAGGACATTTATATATATATATATATATATGTTGTTTTCTTTTTCTTGGTGCCCAGCCATAGTTATTCAAATAAAGTCTTTCCTAAATTACTTTGTTTCTTTGGGCTTTGCCATTAGCCTTCTCAGCATAAGTTGAATTACTGTCTTGTCTCCATTTCAACTTTAAAAATGTCTTTGTAAATCAGTCAATTTGTTGTGTTCACCTTTTTATGTGCAACAGGCGAGAGTATTCTTAGGATGGAAATTAAAATAAGGATTGAAAACATTAGAACAAGTAAGTGGCTTTTTTTTTTTCAAGTATCATCTGATTCAACTTTCAGCAGTTATTATAATGCCGGGCTGAGCTTCTCAATGACAGGCTATGTCGGCACAACCAAGCAAAGAGAGTTAAGGTGAGGTGTCACCAAGTGCCCAGTGATCCAAAATAATATAGCTTTCTTGTTACCATACCTGGCCCCCATGATGGATTTTTTTTTTTTAAATTGTTCTCACAACTAATTATTCCCCTTCAGGAAGCAGAGGGGAGTCTATTTTCATTAACAGTGCTTTGACACATGCCGGTGAGACAGTATACTTGTGTGCTAGTCCTTGCTAAAAAGAATGACAGGCTATGTCGGCACAACCAAGCAAAGAGAGTTAAGGTGAGGTGTCACCAAGTGCCCAGTGATCCAAAATAATATAGCTTTCTTGTTACCATACCTGGCCCCCATGATGGATTTTTTTTTTTAAATTGTTCTCACAACTAATTATTCCCCTTCAGGAAGCAGAGGGGAGTCTATTTTCATTAACAGTGCTTTGCCACATGCCGGTGAGACAGTATACTTGTGTGCTAGTCCTTGCTAAGAAGGAAGACAGAATCAAAATGATAGTTTGCTTTTTGAGGGCCAAGGAATTTTCCTTGGGAACTTTGTTTTGAAACTGAAAAAGCATAGAGTTGCATTACAGTGATACTTATGAAAGACAGATTTTTAATCCTAGATGTTTCAACCAGAGTAGAGAAAAACCTGCTCAGCATTGAATTCCCTTATTCTGAAAAGACCAAATTTCTACCCCAAAGTCCTGTGGGTTCCCTTCCCCGAGCTCCCCATCCGCTCTTCTGTTAAGTGGTTCCCTGGCACACACAGAACCTGCTTCTCAGACAATCAAGAAATGATCCATCAAGGTGCTTTACCTGACCTCTGAGACCACTTGGCATCCTGTCTCTCAGGTACCTTGTCAGCTTTACAGCATTTTAGGTAAAAATATCTGGAAGATTTTACAAGGCTGGATTTAAAGCTTTTGATTTGCCCTTTGGGAAATATTAACAGCAAGATGATTAATTTGATTGACAGCTAGTATTGTTTGTCATAAAACACAGATGAGTGATACATGGAACTCCATGACACCGTACGGGTGCCTTTACCTTCTGTGTGACTGTTTCTTTCTCTTTAAATGAAATGGAATGTACCTGACAGTCTCTTCCTTTGAGGGTGTGGAGCTCTGTCATTCAAAGATTTGAGGGTGTTTTCTGTGTTTGTAGGCAAAGGTGGCATTGTGTAATGGTTAAGCTGGACTCTATAGCTAAGTTCAATTCAAATATCAGAACTGCCTCTGGTCATTGATTTGACCTTGGGCAGGCCCCACACCCTCCTCCTGGGTACCTCATGATCTTTATCCATAAAATGGGACTAGCAATACAACCCACTTCACAGCCTCATGATAATGATAATGTATGTTAAATCGTTTAGAACAGGGCTCAGCATATAACCAGAAATATGTGAGTGATAGGAATCTTGTTCATAAGTAACTTAGAAAACTTTCTGATTTTGAATGTGGCATTTCACTGACTAATTGATTACAAATATTGGACTTCATTCATTGTGCTTCAGAATGGACTATGATTTGAGTTGATATCTGTTCCCCTTAAACAAAAGGGGCCTGCATTGCCATGCCCTCTGCTTACTCCTGGGTTATTCCATTCTGTGTTGGTCAAGTGATAGCCAGCCAAGAGTGAAGTCACGGCTTGCTTCCGGTTGAGGAGACTCATTGGAAATTAGTCTCATGGATAATCTGTTAGATTCCAGAACTTTAGCAGATCCTGAAACAAAGTAAGATTGCATTTCCCTCCAGTGGTGGCTTCATACTGAGAATTAGGCCACAGAAACACGTATCTCTCTAAACAATAGCCTGAGTTCTTGCTTTTATAGCAGACGTGTCTCTCACTCTGCAAATCGAAGGTGTACAAAACATGATTTTTTTTTCTTTTTTACTTCTATCATTTGATTTGATTTCTGTCGTAAGAGAAGTCATTCCACCAGCCTGGAGGGAAATGCAATCTTACTTTGTTTCAGGATGTGCTAAGGTTCTGGAATCTAACAGATTATCCATGAGCGATTGCCGGGGTCTAGCCTCGGCGTGGGTGGTTATCTCGACGAAGGCAGCGAAGGTGAACAGAAGACAGAGGCCTCGATGCCTTTCATGCACGTCCTATGCTGGACATCCCTCAGAGATCGCTCTCTGAGGAGTGACGACTGCTAGGAATCATCGTGCGTTTTTATTGAAAACATGTTACATGCAAGTAAAGGGAGAGGGGCTAGTGTTTCAATTAACAGCTTATAAAGTTTTTAACAATAGAGAACAAAGATTCTATTCAGGGTTGGATTAAAGGTGGGTCTAGTGCAATTTCTATTCAGGGGTGGATTAAGGGTGGGTCTAGTGCAGTTCCTCAATTGTAGGTGGGTCTCCATGGAATGCAGTTTC